GTAATTATTTAAGCCCCTACATTAATATTCCTAAGCATTCGGACCTATATGCGAGACCCCAATCCACACTCACCCCCAAGAGCTAAACCCGAAAGCTTTCCATGGAGGGTTCCGGGCTCTTGGGCTCTACTTGGAGGTTCATCGGTAGTTGTAAGTAGGGCTAGAAGTCGGGCAACTAGAGAAAAACCAGAAACCCTAAACCCCAAACCCCTGAGCCCTAAACCCCAAACCCTAAACCCTAAACCCCTAAACCCTGATAACTTATATCCTATTTAGGGGTAGGGGACTTATAACCGCACTTATCGCTACCCATGAACCTCCAAGTAGGGCTCTGGGACTCAGGGGTTCAATGGTTGAGGGTTCTAGGCTTTAGGTCTTAAGGGTTTAGGGTTGAGGGTTCTAGGCTTTAAGTCTTAGGAATTTAGGGTTTAGGGCTTAAGGGTTTAGGGTTCTAGGGTTTAGGGGTTTAGGAATGAGGGGTTCAAGGTTCTAGGGTGTAGGGCTCTAAGGCTCTAGGGTTCTAGGTTCTAGGGTTTAGGGCTCTAGGGTTTGGGGCTCTAGGGCTTAAGGGTTCTAGGTTCTAGGGTTTAGGGTTCTAGGGCTTAAGGGTTTAGGAACGGAAGCCTACGTACTGAGCTGCTCCTATTCAACACATTCCTGCTGCTGCTATCAGCTTTGAAGTGCTCTCAATTTCGGAGGTCGACCTGAGTTCAGTGTGTGGATCTTCGATGTTCCTGGGCGTAGAACCCTTTAGGGCCCTTGTAAGGCCCCGTGAGCCCACTCCTGAAATCCTATCAAGAAGTCTGTAAAGTGGTCTACGGCCCTTATTAAGGTTTCAAGAAATTTGCTGAGCAGAGGTGGTTGGACAGGCTAGGGGGGTTCCCGCGCATGGATCGCATAGGACAGCACAAGTGATTGCGCGTATCCTGACGCAATTAATGGAACCGGCTTCTTCTGTGGGGTTCGAAGATAAGCCTAGTACAAGATCTTCATGAGTCTGCAGTCGCCGGCGCACCCGGAATGAGGAGCCAACCACAACTTGCCTCACAACAAACCGCGTACCCGCAAGCCCCTGGGCCCTTCACCGGTAAACATTGCAGAAACCCGGAACGCATAAACTCTGAAACCACTAAATCGCTAGTACAGATACCAGGATAACTATTATACTAGGATGTTGAGAAGCTTTACACGGTAACTGCTGTAGGAAACCCCAGTGAATAGTCACGAAATATTTAGGTGCCAGTATTTATAATACATATATATATATATATATATATCTATGTATGTGTATATATATATATACACACACATACATGCATATATGGAGCTACATAACTCTGTATATATATATATATATATATGTGTGTGTGTGTGTGTGTGTGTGTTTCTACATGGACACAACATCCCTAGCGAAACCCTCATGAAATCTTACTCCACCCAATGCTATGCAACACCTAAGAAACACCATGCCTTCATTATGAGAGCAGTGCCTTAGGGAACCATACCATCAGTCTACTACCTTAGCCTACCACAACCTACTTGTTTGTAGGGTCCCTATAAATTCCATATTAGGGTTTAGGGTTTACGGTTGGTTCCGAAGTAGCCCCTGGATAATAAGGGCACCCTTGTTCCTACTGTTTGGTTTTAATACGGGAACCCAAAAAGAAAAAGGGCAAAAGGGTACCACTGGGGAACCTAGATACTATAAATCTACTATAAGTATAATAAGAATGCTAATTCTTCCGACTCCCGTTTTCCAATCCCGACTGAAACCTTATAATAAGACACCAAAACACAATAATGGAGCCCTCAGCCCTTAACCTTAAATTCACTATTCGATGAAACCCTAAACCCCAAACCCCAAACCCTGAACCCTAAACCCTGAACCCTCAACGCCAAACCCCCAACCTTAAACCCTAAACCCCAAACCCTGAACCCTCAACCCCAAACCCCAAACCTCAACCCTCAACCCTAAACCCCAAACCTCAACCCTCAACCCTAAACCCCAAACCCTAAACCCTAAACCCCAAACCTCAACCCTAAACCCCAAACCTCAACCCTCAACCCTAAACCCCAAACCCTAAACCCTAAACCCTAAACCCCGAACCCTCGACCCTAAACCCTAAACCCCAAACCCCAAACCCTAAACGGTAGTGGGGTCGACAATCTCCCAAGCGCCGGGCCCAGGCGCTTCGCGCCTTTCTCCTTGGCCTTCCATGGCTGGCCGAGGGCTCACGGTACTATTGATATAAATCAACCCTGAACCCTAAAGCTTCTGTTGATGATAGGGTTTAGGGTTTAGGGTTTAGGGTTTAGGGTTTGGGGATATAAATCCTGCAGTACCTGAAGGACCCTAAGCTATGGGAATTATCGTATTTTCCTTCTTATGGGTAATGCAGGGTTTATATCATCAAGAGTAGTATTGAGGTGTCAGGGGTTAGGGAGATTAGTTACGGTTTTGGGGTTTTGGGTTTAAGGTTTAGAGCTTAGGACTTTGGGTTTAAGGTTTAGGGTTTAGTATTGAGGGTTGAGGGTTCAGGGAGTTCAGGGTCTTAGGTTTATGGTTGAGAGTGATCTTTTCTATAAAAGGGAGCTCAGAAGGTTTCTAGGGTTCTTGAGGGTTTGTTAGCATCTCGAGATTTCTTGGTATTTTTCTGGTGCTCTGCAAAGATAAACCCTAAACCCCAAACCCTAAGCCCTACCCATAGGCCCTAAAGTAGTTCCTTTTTGGGGTTCATATATAGAATTCTATAAGGTAACCCCAAAAAGGTACTACTATGGGGCCTACGGGTAAACACTAAAACCCTATAAGGGAATCCAAAGATAAACTCTAAACCCCAAACCCTAAGCCCGAAACCCTATGGGATCCAAGCGAATCCAAGTTTCATTTTTCAGGATTGGACCCTCAGCCAGAAATCACGAAATCCACCCCTTAACATGCAGCCACAACTATCTTTAGGGTTTAGGGTTTAGGGTGTAGGGTTTAGGGTTTAGGGCTTAGGGTTTAGGGTCTAGGCCCTCTCCCCGCAAGGCACTAGTGCGACTAATTCGAGGGCAGTGTAGCTATGGACAGAAGGGGCTAGTTCATGACCCAGCTTCCCTAAACCCTAAACCTAAACCCGAAATCCCTCACTCCGAAAGCCCTGACCCCCTAAACCCTAAACCCTAAATCCTGTAAACCGAAGACACCACTCCCGAGCCTGGATTTCGTAGTCATGCGAACCTTCAATCGCAGAAGCCCTATAGGCACCTGAATCCTAAATCCTCAATCCTAAACCCTAAGAGTCCAAGTACCCAAATAGTAGGGTTTCCAGGTCCAACAACCATTCAGGGTCTGGATTTTGGGACCTAAAACCTTACCATTTGGGTACTCGGACCCTCTGGGAAAAACCCTAAACAAAAGCTCCCAAGGAAGTGAGCCCGCCTCAATCACCCTAAACCCTAAACCCTAAACCAAACCGAACAGAAGCTCTGAAGCGCCTCCTCTTTGTCCATCTTGCTCCAGTCGTCTGGCGGACTTTGCCGCTGCTCTGCTTCTTCCTCCTCGCCTGGGAGATCCAGGCCCTTTGTCAGAGTTTCGGGATTTGGAGTTTAGGGTTTAGGGTTCAGGATTTAGGGTTTAAGATTTGGAGTTTAGGGTTTAGGGTTCAGGATTTAGGGTTTAAGATTTGGAGTTTAGGGTTTAGGGTTCAGGATTCTGGGCTTAGGGTCTAAGATTTGGAGTTCAGAGTTAAAGTTTAGGGTTCAGGATATAGGGTTTAGGATCTGGAGTTTAGGGTTCCGGGTATCCCTAAACCCTAAACCCTAAACCCTAAACCCAAACCGTATAGAGGGCTTAGGGCGAAGGTGAGCTCTATACAGGCCTTGGATGAGTCGACCCACAACACTAAGCCCAACGCTGCAACCACTGAACAAACAAGCAAGACAAAAGGCCCCTAGTTTAGGGGTTTAGGGTTTAGGGTTTAGGGCTCTCTCCTCTTCAATAGCAACCATCAATTGCAGCAAGAGCTTCTGGTCAGCCCTACCACTCTTGACATTGTCGCTCGCTCCTTGGAGTTCAGCTCTTTTGTCCAACCCCTGGCATCAGCCCGAAGATAGGTGGCCAATTTCCGATAGTCAGTCAGGCCCCCATCCATTGACATGAAGTCTTCTAGCCCATTACGCAGAGTGAGCGATGTGCCGTGCTCGCGTATGGGAGCACCATGCGGCGAGAACCATGCATTTCCCAGCCGGCACTATCCACACATCCTCGGTTGGCATGTTTTGCATACAAGGCAACTGCAGCAAATGTATTCCTTGAAACATTGCAGTAGTTCCCTGAGTCAGTTACCATCCTTTGGAAAGGACCATTGGCTGCACATCCAACTCCACACGACCACAGCCCGTACGAGACCAGAAGCTCTGCCCTCGACACCAAGTTCCCAAGTAGACCTGTTAAGAACGGAGCTCTCTTTTGCTCTTCAGCTTAAAAAGGGAATCCCGGAATTAAGAAAAACCCTATCCCTGCACCTCAAACATAAACCCCAGGCAAAGCCCAAGCCACCATGCCCTACACCCAAAACCCCAAACCCTATACCCTACACTCTATAACTACCAAATCCTAAACTCCGAACCCTAACAACCAAACTTTAAACCCTAAACCCTACACCCAAAACCCTAAACCCTACCTACCAAGCCCTAAGCCCCCTAAACCATGAAGCCCTGTGATCTCAAAACTGCCGCCCTGCCACGAATCGCTTTTTCCACGAGCTCCTCGCAAGGATTTCTTCTTATTTTAGGGTGTTGGGTCAGTAGTATAGGGGCCGTCATCATTAGAACGTGGTTTCGGGGTATATTATGCTGTACGACTTCGGCTCTACATTTACGAAGGCTCGGCGATTTAGATGTAGGCTAGTACTAAGTTGTCCTTTAAGCCCTTTGAAAATTACTTACTATTATGGTTCTCTACAAAATAGTAAGGGAAATTAAAAAAGATCCCAAAAGACAACCCAGAGTACTGAGGGTTTGGGGTTTGGCCGGGTTTGGGCTCGGAGTCGAGATTGGGCAAACCACTCCAATGCTTCTTGGGCTGTTGCATGCATCTCCTCATTCGGTTCAGGGTTTAGGGTTTAGGGTTTAGGGTTTTCTTTGCATTTTTGGCTGTTGCAACCAGCTCCTCCGCCTGGCTGCACGTCCTCTGCAGCTTCATGCCGTCAGGCGAGGCTTTCCCAAACTACTCCACGATCTCATCGACATCCTCCGGGTCGCTTGGGGCCGGCCTCAAACACGAAGACCAACCTGCAAATGCCATCCCCGTCTGGTGCTTAGTAGGGAATGGGGGAATGGGTTATAGGGACTACTAACAGGGACCTTAAGGGACTATCATCGGGATCCATTCCCCCATTCCCTACTAAGCACCAGACAGAAGATTCTTGCCGATTGGCTTGACCCTAAACCCTAAACCCTAAACCTTCGCTTTCACTGTCGAGCCACGCCTTCTAGGAGTTAGGATTAGGGGGACCCTTTGGGGATATCGACCCTCTCAATAAGGTTTTGAGAGAGCCAAAAGCAGGGTTCAGAAGGGGCACCCTTTAAGGGGTACCCCTAATAATACTACCTAAGCTAGCAAAAATGTCTCTGTTGCAGGTGAGGTCGCAATTTGGGCATCGCTGGGACGCATGAGCTCAAAACAGCCCGCCGCCTTGTACCAAAATTCATAGCCCCCGTGGTAAAAAAAAAAAAACAAATACTTAAACCCCAAACCCACAACCGCAAAACCTAAACCCACACCCAGGACACTACCACTGTATTTCTCGAGCCCCGAAACCCTACCCTGCGAACTCTGTGCATCGCAACCCTAAAGTTTAGGGTTTAAAACCCAACGCCCTCAACCCTAAACCCTAAACCCTAAGCCCTAACCCCTAAACCCCCAAATCCTAGAACCCTAAACCCGAAGCCCCAAGCCCTAAACCCCTAAACCCCTAAACCCCTAAACCCCTAAACCCTAAACCCTAAACCCTAAACCCCTAAACCCTAAACCCAAACCTTAAAACCTACTAAACCCCAATGAACTTCGAAGCCGCATGTCTGAACACCGAAGCCGCGAACCCATATAGGGTTCAGGGGTTTAGGGGTTTAGGGGTTCAGGGTTCAGGGGTTGACAACTCGAAGAGGGTTTTGGGGCACATTGTACAATGAGTGCCTTAAGGAGCCCTGAGGGATAGTAATGGCCAAAAATATGTAGGTTTCTATATGCTCCAACCTCTGAAATCCGGCAACCGCGGTCCTGTACCCAGAACTTTGGCGTTTGCTGACCGGGCTCCTAAGGCAGTTGAAAGGCCAAACCCTGTGAAGGCAACGCAAACAAGGTTTAGGGCTTAGGGTTTAGGGCCCTGGGCTTCGCGTTTTGGTGTTTAGAAGTAGGAATTAGGAGTAGGGGGACCCTTGGGGATATAGACCCTCTGAAGAAGATACCTGTTAAGAGAGCTAGAGGTAGGGTTAAGAACGGTCCCCTTGAGGGGGTCTCCCTAATACTGCCCAGGAAACAGTTGGGCTGGGGATTCACTTACGTGTTCCTTTCGGTTTAGGGTTGAGGGTTTAGGGTTTAGGGTTGAGGGTTTAGGGTTTAGGGTTTCTTGCTGGTATCCTAACCCTTACTAACTCTAACATCTCACGTGCTCCAGGTAAACTTCCTGCGATGAAACTCCCAAGCGGATGAAACGCAAGATCATGGGGGGAAAGACCGCGTCTTGATGGCTATGGCTGACCAAGTGCCGGTTGGAACAATCGTACCGTGGGGTTTTGTTTCGTCTTTCTGTTTCTGCCCAGCTGGGCCCAACCTCTCTTTATGTATGTAGCCATATATATATATATATACATATACCTATACATA